TCGCATGCCAATGTGCATTGGCTCGTTTAGTTTACACTCGAAGTAGATTGGTCTCTCTAAGCGAGATCCCAAAATCATCCAACGTGACGTCTCCGTTCCCTCCTTCAGGGATCGAGGGTTACCATACGTAACCGAGACGTTCTGTTTAGCCCCCTACAGTCACCCATGTAACAACTTAGTTAAAGCTCAAACAATAATCAGAGGTTATGGCTAGTATTACGAAATATGCCGCCCAATGCTTGCTAATACTTCAACAGTATTTTTATCTAGCTCCCTATAGTTAATCTAACTATATAACAACTTGAATAAATCTGAGACAATAACCAGAGGTTATGGCTAATACTATGAAGTATGCTGAATCATGCTTACTAATAGCCCAGTAGTATTTTGTCTAGGAAGGAAGTGGGGGAAAGGAACAAATGTATAGGTGAGAAAGAAGCTTTCCCAGATCTTCTCTCAGTGAGATGTGGAAACAGATGCCTGTATGTTAATACACTGTGTTTGCATTGTCAGTATCTCAGAAGATCAAAGTGTCTGAGGTTCTTCCAGCCTTACAATTCACTGTGAAATCAAAACAGTGAGAGACGAGTTCTTTTGTTGAAAAACTTTCACAACTCATGTTTCCAAATTCCCAATGATTATATTGACAGGTCTTCAATAAATGACTATAACAGTTATAAAGAACAACATTTCAGTCTAACCTGATTTAGTATCTATGTATTACGATCAAGTTACTGGGTTCATACAGTAAAAGCAGCACATTATTTTCATTATGAATAAGAGTGTGAGTTGGGTATTTCGTTTAATTAAATGTGTTTATGTGGTTTAAGGTTCAAAAAACACATTATTTTCCACATACTGTACATGATTGTTTCTCCTCTATGCCCCGCCTTTCTGAAACGCGTCGATTTTTACAAAGCTCATCGGTCTGAAAAGCGAGGTGTGCTCTGATTGGACTGCTATCCAGTGCGTTGTGATTGGCAGAATACCTCAAGCTGTGATGGAAATGTTACGCCCCTTACCATATTGTGATACCTTGTCCCAGCCGGAGCGAGGAGACAAAAACATTAAAACCCATTATAAAGGAGGCATTTGTTGCATCCAGTGGGGACATAATTACAAATTATAATGACTTATACTGTCTTTTTACGCATTGCATTACATCACGCCGCGTAAACATAAAGCCATGTCTGCATTTGTGATCGGAGAAATGACAAACAACAAGCCCTACTCTACACTGCCCAAAAAAACTCGCTTTAAATATATAAAATATAAAAACTCT